TTGAATATCAGTGATCACCAATTAAAATCACGTCCTATTCTTGCCATATAGTATGGGAAGTCCAAGACGGCTTCTCAGCGACGATACTCCAAAAGGCGAATGGGAGAGTTTACGCAACTAGTCTTTGTAACAGTTCCGGACGTTAATTTGAACGAGTGACTGTAACTTAAAGCCACGAGTCAGGATTAGGCAACCAGCAGAAGTTCTTCCCAGGGTGCGATAGTGGGCTCCCCAAGCACTGAGGGCGCGACACTATCGCGACCCAAAAGTGCGCGGCAATGGCGCTAAGGCCTTGCCTGCCCGCGCTGCCAGCGTAATCCACCACGGCATACGTGGTCTCTGCGTCCTCTCGCGTACGACGTACTATCTCGCGTTCTCCCTCTCCTCGCAGCGCTGTGTCTCTCCGTCGTACTACGGCCGGCCTCCTAAGGGAAATTTAGTGTTTTCTATGGTGCTTTTTGCTTTTTCTCCTCACTAATGTTCCTCATTGCACCCCTTGCCTAATGTTTGAACAAAATAACGCATCAATTCAATCCCGACTCGTGCCTTTAAGTAACTTCGTATGCTTATGTAGTTTTTCTAATTCTTTACTGAAACAAATGCAATTTTCTCGGACATTTCGTTCCCATCGTGAAAGACATGTCTAAGGCACAAATTAAAGAAGCGAACTATGCTGTTTCCGGATTCCTTCAACCAGTCAGCAAAAAATTAACGATGAAATATTTAACGATTCTTGTCCTAACACCAACTAAAGATTACGTGCTTATTTTCAGGCGTTTCAACTAATGGAGTCGCACCAAATCATAACGGCAAGTTCCCTTCGTTTTCTTGTATAAATCGCACATTTAATCTGTTACAATCTTCAATCAGTTATCTGACCATCGAATCCTCAATGAAAACTACAAAACATTGAATTGTTATTTTGACTTATTCTTGAGTACCGTTATTTTATTCTTGCGAATGCTCCACAGGAACGCCGGGTTACAAGCAGAACATTCGCCCCGGACAGGACTCGAACCTGTTACTGTCGCTTACCGCGCAGATGCACTATAGATCCCGCTACCGGGACACCATTTCGCCCTTACTCAGCTTTTCATGGTGTGTTTAACACAATTTATCTATAAGCAGTGGGAAAGACACTGTGATGAGCTACGGTAATATACCATGAAAAGCTGAGTAAGGACGGAATAGTGCTCCGGTGGCGTAAATTGTGGCACGGTGAACGAGAAGGGTGGGCACGAGTCACATCTGGAGCGAAAGCTTTTCTATAATCCATCACTCTTGTGAAATATTATTGTTGAGCACACTTGTTCACGATTATACGGGACGCTCAGTTGTTTTCAAGAATTTTATAGATTTTCTGAACAACACACAAAAATCGATACATATACATACAACAAGGTAGCAGGACGACTTCACTTCTTCCCAATCATTGATCCCATATACGGATTGTACATGCCGCCACCGAGTAGGCTGGAAAAGAGTAAGTTTTGCAAGGACTTCCATTACTGATCTGTTGGCCGTTTCTCAGAATGCATTGTTATAATGAAACATTGATTAACTAATAAAATTTAACATTTATTATCATACTTTCTACATCGGTAGTTGTAGTAGTTGGCGTACCCGTATGGATTGCTCAACATGTCCATTCCTGGAGGACCCATTCCGAGCCCCATCGGTGGAACACCTGAGATGAATTGCAAATTAAACGTACCTAAATTTAATAATTAATTTATAATAAATTCGTATAACTTCGTATAATGTATGCTATAATTTTAATTAATAAATAATTTGTACTTAATACTTTTAATAATTAATTTAATTAAGTAATTTCAACGAAGTATAGAATAGTTAAGGCTAGGTCAAAATAGCCGGGCTTGCAAAAGAGAAGAAATGTTGGAGTTGAAAAATATTAGGTCAACTCATTCAAACATGTCCAGACATCTAGAGAAATGGTGGGAAAAGTAAAAGAGCTAGAGCATTCTACTTGCTTTTGCTTTAAGCTAGCACACCCAGCTACGGTATACTCTAATTTAGTTTATAGTGCTGCAGGAGGAAACACTTAAACACATAAAAGAATTCATAGTGACCCAAATCGAGGTGGAATTTTCCAAATGACTGGTGACACACGTAAAATTTGCAACTCGAATTCTGTGTGTGCTGGCTCAACTTACGCGTGATACAGTGTTCTCGAAGTGCTACGTTGAAGATATGGTGTGTGAGAGCTCAAAGAAGGGAGAACGGAAGCGAGTTGTGGTTGTGAGACGCGCTTCATACGTTTTTGTTTATTGTCCACCTTCCCCAAGAAGAGCGGGTGGATGAAATGAGGTTTCAAATGGCGCATCACAGATGTTGAACCTTTGCGATGTTTGCCCACGAGACTTGCAGTCTAGCTGCACCTGTTACGCAAATTGTGCCCAAAAATTGGGGATGGTCCACAGAACATGTTTTTGGATATCCCATTTACTCCCAGATGCAGGAGTCCAGAATCGAATTGGTGTCTGTAGCAATGATTTTCTCTGCCGATAACGGCATTTAAGACTATCAAACTGGACCCTGCTCATAAACGAAATTTGTGTGTAATTGTACGCTGAGGCCAAAGTCAGAAGTGTCAACTTTGGATTAACGCGAATGAGGAACTGCCCGAATTGGATCACGAGAAGTCACGTGGGTTCACGTGGATGATTATTATGGCGATGGATTTCTGAGGTGTGCCTCTTAAATGGCTCTGTCGGGAAAAAACCTCCGGCGTTTCTCAAGTTTATGGCTTGTTTCTTAGCGAACAAATTGACAAAGGAATAGCAGTATAAAACTACAATAACGATATCATCACCTATGTCGATACCAGACCCTACATAGCTCATATTGCTCACGGAGTATTTCGATCAAACGGATATTGTGGCCTCTTCTTATCAGCCGTATTTTCCAACTGCAGCCATGCGACCTCAGCTGTTTTATCGAACTGAACGCCCTACTCGTTCGGAAGCGCTACGACAATTCGTTGATCATCTATACTGACATCAAAAGCATCTTGTCTATACTTGTTGAAATGAAGAAGCTGCGCGGTGTCCAGTGTTTTCTAGACGCTGGGATCGGGTCGTTAACAACGACAAGATCTGCTTGACTTCCACACCAAAGTATTAGCTTTTTATCTTTCCTGCTGTTCATTTTATTCGAATAAAACCGTGGACATGTTTGAATGAGATGACCTAATACTAACATTGGCAACGAGCCCGTACAACGAAAGTTGTAGTAGTTGGCGTACCCGTATGGATTGCTCAACATGTCCATTCCTGGAGGACCCATTCCGAGCCCCATCGGTGGAACACCTGAGATGAATTGCAAATTAAACGTTCCTAAAAATCAGATTTCAATGAAGTATAGAATAGTTAAGGCCAGGTCAAAGTAGCTGGGCTTGCAAAGGACAAATATGGGTCTAAAAATTACTACATTGCAACGAGCACTTCAGAATCGAAGTTCTGGAAAGCAGCGGCTTACTGTGCACCAGTGGCAAAGTGCTAACTACATAGTAGGATTCTGAATCTGTTGAAGAAGGCTCAAACAAACACTTATTGGCTTTCGAATGGCTACTATGTAGGGGGTGAATCCGAGATATGCTGGTCCTCAATTATAATAAACTTATAATTTTATTGATCATCAAGAGGTCGAGCATCGTTCAGAATCATAGATGTGATTGAAGGCCTCTTAACTTCATGGAACAGCTTGTAGAGAATAACGAAATGAAATGGTACACCATGAAGTGTTGAGCAATGCATATTGGGGTGTACCACGCGCTCTAGTTCAGATCAGGATCCTGGCCTCATTGGGATCCCATTTGGTCTATAAAATGAGTCTTAAGCAGCCAATGTACTACTCATGGTTAGCGTTCTCGAAGACTTGTACCTAACAATTAATGAAGAAGGGATGGAAGAATTGGTGGTCAGTTCACTGTTCTCGGTCTCAAACGATTATGGTATCAAAGTTCATCCACCATTGAACCGAAAGGTCGGCCCAGCACAAAGGCTACAAGCTTGTCCACTTCCCTTGAGTGGGCGTTCCCAGTCTCTACGATGCTCCTGTCAACACATTAATGAATTGA